GAATTAGAAAGAGAGCAAAGAGAGATATATGAAAAAGTTTGGAGAGAGGAAAAGGAAGGATGAAATGATATAATTATATTATAAAATCAAAAATAAAATTTTCAAATAAAAAAACATCAGTGATATGGAGAGGTTGGAATGTTGCAGTTCCAGAGCCTAAATACAATTTGTCTTGGCCTATTTTTACAGCCACCTAAAGAGCCATCCCTTACCCACCTCTGTCTCAGACCTGTCATCCTGTCACTCCTAGATAAAGCCAAACCTAATACCCTGACAACAGATTTTAAAAAGAAAAAAAAAACTTTGGAATGTTCTAATTCAACAAAACTATTCTCCGCCAGTCGAAAATCTAAGAATTCTGTCATAAAGCATCTGGAGCCCATGGCAAATGTTTCTTCTCCTGGCTATAACTTCCCTCTTTGATGTGCTCATCAGCATAGTTTTAAAATGCCGTGATTCTTGACTACCTTTGTTCTGTCGGTATAAAAACTCAATGTAACTGTTTGCACATTGGACCATGGAATGTGCAATGCCATGAATCTGTGTTCCCAGGCATGGTTACTTATATTTGGTTCTAGAATAAAGTTTACTTACTTTTAGGTGAGAGCTACATTTTTGCATTGACAGTTATAAGGACCACGTTCTACAAGAACACACACACACACACACACACACACACACACACACACAAGTAGAATACATTTTTTCCTCTTATCCTAACAGAATTAAGACAACTTACTCCTAGAGATTACCAGACAATGACTTTTTCTCAGATACTAATAAGTGTAATGCAAAGAGCCAGACCCATTCTTCTTGCCCCATCTTTCGTACCGTGGGAAGTGGGACATTCCCCCATGATGTCCCACTTCCCACAGTACAATCACTATGACAAACGGTACAGCTTGCAATAATGGAAAAGAGATTGCAGGCTACATGTCACCTGTCAACATGTCAATCACAGAATGTCAAAGAGAGGATGATTTAACACCATGGTTTGTTCTACAGGTCAGGCAATGGAAATCTGATCAGCCAGCCTCTGTGTTCCCTGAAGGCGCAGCTCACAGTCCGGAAAATTAATTAAAGCTTCTGTAGGACATAGGAAACTTCTGGTTTGACAAGTAAAGCCAGTTCCTCCTCCTCCCCACCTCACAGAGTCAGTCTTCTGAAACCAAGTTCCACGTTCATTTCTGATTGTCTCCGTGGAAAAGCTCCCCGGTCCTTTTCAGATGCTCCTCCAGTCTGGAGAAAATGCACTTGACTGATGATCGTGTAAGTACATTTCCAGTCAATGGCCACTGTCACTGGACAGAGCAAACTCAGAGCTGCAACCATGACGGCTGCCAATAACTCTACCAGCCGAGTCTTGGGTTTTTAAAAGGGAATTATTGCAGGCTGAGAGATGGTTCAATCAAGGTCACCGGCTGCTCTTCCTAAGTACAGGGGTTTGATTCCCGGCACCCACAAGACAGCTCACAATAGTCTGTCACTCCACCTCCAGAAGAACTGATGCCCTCTTCTGGCTCTGTGAGCAGCAGACACACACATTGTGCACACACATTCGTGCAAAAACACCCATACACATAAAATAAGTAAATAACTTTAAGGGAGGGTCTCACTGGGGATAAGCAAAGAGGCTTTGTAAATTTTGCAATTCCATGCAGTTGGCTGGAGTTTGATATTTGGTAATACTTGAAGAATAAATTCAACTCTATGAAGTAGAAGAGACAAAATTAGGGCAACAGAAGCCAGCAAAAGGTAGGAACTCAAAGGGGATGGCAGAAAATGAAGTCTTCTGTGTTCTTCTTTTCCCAGCCCATTTTCACTCACCCTTTCATTCCCACTACAGATGCTAAAATGCCCACCACTAGCCTAGAAAGCCTCATTCTCCAACTCCCAACTCCTTCACTCTGGTTCAACATCTTGACCATTCACCAGACCTGCCTGGCACAGGTTTGCCAACTAGCCATGATGTCCTCATCCCCTTAGGCAAATGCTGTCACTTGCTGTGATAAAATGGAGTGTCTTAGATGTCAACTTGACTTAGCCAGTCCCCAGTTATTGCATCAAACTCAATGCGCTGTTGTAGATGTGAAGAAAACCTATCATCAGTTGAGCTAAGAAAGGGAGGTGGTTCTAGGTAAAGTCCCATGGCTGATCCAACAATCTGAAAAGCCTCGAGGTAGAGCAAGGCCCCCAGGTAAAGAGATCTCTCTACAGGCTGTAGCATTAGCACACACACAAGCACTCCTGCTCAGCTTTCTGGAAAGCCTGAACTTTGAATTTTGGACTGGTCCAACCCAACCACCCCACAGTCAGACAACCCAAGTCCTTGTCCAAAATTCCCTTTCAATATATCTCCTGCCATTTCTGCTTTGTTTGTTGTTTTAGTCGAGCTTTAACTGACACATATAATTAGAATGTTTTATGTCAATCCATTCACCTCCAAAAGATGTATTTTTATGCAAAATTTTATATCCCTAGCATACAGATGCCACCGTGACCCCTCCCTCCAGCAGCTGTATGAACAAACACCTCAAAGCTCTCAGGCTGTGATTTCTGGGGTCCCATGTACCAAAGGAAGAGGCTCCATGAAAGCAATGTCAGAGGGAGACTCTTGTGACTGTACTGCACCATGGGCAGTGCTGGTTCTGTGTCATCTATGGTGCCAAGGTTGTCTGGCATTGCCCTCAGTTCACAGGGAACCTGCATGATCTTCAGAACTCTCCTCTAAGCTCCGCTCTGTGTGACTGGGCAACTTCTTGCAGAATCGTTGCCTGAGCAGGTCTTCCGGAAGAAGGAAATGCAATGTGTTTGGGTAATTAAAATAAAGGCCAAATGATGGAAAGAAGACTCCAGAATCTAGTGCGTGGGGCCAGCAAGTTTCTTCTCCAACTTTTTGTCTCTCCGCCGTGATGTGGGTCCAGTAACAGGATTGTGGTAGACGTCTTCTCTCCGCTGTGGTGTGGGTCCGGTAACAGGACTGTGGTAAACGTCTTATGTGTTGCCTCCTTGGAATCAAATGACCCCCCCCCCCCCCCCGCTTCTCCTTAGATGCACTCTTGCCCTTCTCAGCCTATCTGTGGGTGTGGATGAGGAGTGGACCTTGCTCCTTCACCTCTAGTTTTTTGGTGTGTGCACACATTTACCATCTCCTTCACAACCTCAGCCAGGCCCTGTCACCTGCGAGATAGAGTAGGACATCTTGGGTGTCACCTTCTACAATCAGCCTAGGCCTCTTTCATGGTTCAGGTATGAGCAGGTAATCAACACATCTGGTGGTTTGAAAGAAAATGGCCCCCAAAGTGAGTGGCACTATTGGGAGGTGTGGCTTTGTTGGAGTAGGTATGACCTTTTTGGAGGAAGTGTGTCACTGTGGGGGTGGGTTTTGAGGTTTTCCTTGCTCAGGATACTGCCCAGTGTGTCAGGAGACTTCCCGTTGCCTACAAGATGTAGGACTCTCAGCTGCTCCAGCACCACATCTGCCTGCATGCCGCCTTGCTCCCCACCAAGATGATAATGGATTGAACCTGTGCACTGTAAGCAAGCCACCCCAAATAATGTTTTCTTTATAAGAGTTGTCATGGTCCGGCCAAGCACCAGACCGAGCTCCAGAAGTCCAGTCGAAGAGAGGGAAAAGGAATTATATGAGCAAGGGGCATCAAGACCACGATAGGGAAACTTATAAATACAACTGAACCAAGCTGTCAGGAACTCACGAACTTTGGACCAACAGCTGTGGAGCCTGCATGAGACTGGACTGGGCTCTCTGCATAGGCGAGACAGTGGTGTAGCTTGGTCTGTCTGAGGGGCCCCTGACAGTGGGAATAGGATCCATCCCTGGTGCATGAGCTGGCTTTTTCAAGCCCAATGCCTATGGTGGGACACCTTGCACAGCCTTGATGCAAGGGGAGGGGCTTAGGCCTGCCTCAACTGAATGTGCTGGGCTTTGCTGACTCCCCATGGGAAGCCATACCTTTTCAGAGGAGGGGATGGGGGGTGGGCTTAGGGGGAAGGCTGGGGGGGAGTGGGAGGAGGGAGGAGGAAGAATCTGTGGTTGGTATGTGGAATGAATAAAAAATTTCTTAATAAAAAAATATTTTAAAAAAATGAGTTGCCATGGTCATGGTGTCTCTTCACAGCAATAGAAACCCTAACTCATACAAAACCTTAATCTCTTTTTTAAAAACTTTTAATCAGGTGGGGCACAAATTGGAGCTACCAGTGGACCTCTTTGCTACCTTGTGTGGAGTTTCTTTGGAGAACAAAGTCAATATAAAGAAAGGCAAAGAGGAAGAGGAAGATGGAAATAGAAGGAGATGAAGGGATGGGGGAGAGTTCTGATCCTATGATTTGTACACCGTGATCCAACCACCTCTAAAGTCATCTGGATCTAAGCCAGGGGTGGGTTTTGGCTTCATTTCATAATAAAACTAGCTTGGACATCAAAGAGAATAGAGGTGGGGTACTGTCAGCCACAACCTAAATAACTACGCCTCCTAATACAAGAATCCTTTGGAAGTGCCATAAAATCACGGAATAGCACCTGGCATGCTAAGCCCTCAACAAATACTGCTATTTAGGAGGCTTAAACAAAATCATGCCTTTAAAGCACTTGTCCCCTTGCTCACATTGGGTAAATGTGCTGTCCCTCCATGGCAGCCACCCAGAGCACCAGTTCAGTCACCCAGCAACCCAGCCAGCCTGGCCTTTACAAGAGCAGGTGTATTTCGGAAAACCTACATGTCAGGCTCTAGAGATGCAAAGTTAATGAACTGAAAAATGCTGTGTCTTATGGCGGCAAAGCTCACTGCAGAAACTACTCAGTCCTGGGTGGTTTGGTGGCCCTCAGCATAGCCACTCAAATGACAGAGCATCCCTTTCAGTCAGAGAAAGCTCTGGAAAACAACCAATAGACAGCTGCAGAAGCTGGACATGGGTGGGGCACTTTTTTTTAAAGGAGTAAAAGAGGAAATTTTCAGCAACAAAAAATCTAAACTCAATTTTATGGCAAAGGATGTTTAATAATTACTCTTTTTGAAGGTTGATGTATTTAACCATTCTTCTAAAAATATCAACATGGGCGGGGGAACAGACGGAAAGTGAGGTGATGCGTCAGGTGCTCCCATCCCTCCACAGCACGAGCAGCGGTCAGAACTAAGTCAGTCCCATGCAACTAAACTGCCATCTTGTCATTCTGCTACAAGGGCAGAAGTCACGTTGCTCCTGCTCGGCTGACAGACACTTCCTCTAAAAGGAGAGAAAAGATGACAGATGGGTATCACTGCCAAGCCTTTTTCTTTTTGTATTAATTTTAATTTTAAAACTGTCTTTTCTTTTGAATGTTCATCATGCACACTTACTGTACACTGCACTGTGCTCTGTCAGGACATTTTCACACACACTGTGTGTTGGGCTCTTTCCCCATGCCCTGAACTCTCTCCTCTTTCATGCCTCCAATTAGTCTCTTCCGTTTCCCTAGACAGTTAGGCTTCAATGTTCATGTCATAAGTATACACATGGGTGAGTGTATGTATCTATATAAAAATCTAGGAACTAAGAATGAGAGAAAACACATATTTGTCTTCCTGAGACTGACATGATCATCTCCACATTGCCTCCCTTTCCTGTCCACACACGACTTCATTCTCCATTGTGCATGTATACTACATTTTCTTTTCCATCCCTCAGTTGTTGGATAGGAAAGCTAGGGTGGTTTAACAGTTTAGTTCTTGTGAACAGTGTTGCAGTAAACACAGGCAAGTATCTCTGTTGTTGGAGGGCTTTTTTCCAGCTTCCACCAAGCCCCGCAGTCTCACAATCCACGTATAAAATAATCACTCAGATGCTTATAATACTTATAAACTGTATGGCCATGGCAGGCTTTTTGTTAACTGTTCTTTTATCTTAAATTAACCCATTTTTATAAATCTATACCTTGCCACGTGGCTGGTGGCTTACCAGTGTCTTTACATGCTGCTTGTCCTGGCGGTGGCTGCAGTGTCTCTCCCCCTTCTTCCTGTTTCCCCAATTCTCCTCTCTCCTTGTCCCACCTATACTTTCTGTCTGGTCACTGGCCATCAGTGTTTTATTTATATAGAATGATATCCACAGCATATCTCTGTGATATGTTAACTTGGAGCCCTTTGGATACAGCCTAGGGAGAAATGTATCGGGGCGTGTGGTAGATCTTTCAGTCCTTTGAAGATTCACCATGCTGGTGTTCACAGAGAATGGTCTAGTTTACATTCCTATCCGTAATGGATGGAAGTGCCCTTTGTCCACATGAACCCACTCAGTGGAGGATAAAGTCGCAGGGCTCACACCTATGTATACGATGCAAACATCGCTAGGAGAAGCACCACCTTGGTGCTGACATTGTATGGAGACAAGCCAGCTGCACACAGATCTCAGAAGGCAGCAGAGCTGCAGGACCTATGGCAGAATGGCTGACATCTGCATCACCAAAGCTAGAGAAATACACAGAGCAGAGGACCCAGAGGTGAGAAGTGGCCACACCGCTTCCTGCAGGATCACAGTATATATGAGGTAGAGCCAGAGAAGGTTCTTTCCTCTATATCAAGACTATTACCCCAGGCTGATAAACTCCAGGAAGTATGACCCATATCTCAAAAAAAAAAGTCATTATAATAATAAACAGCAGGCCCTCCCTCCAAAGTTGGGCATTGGAGATTTAAGAAGCAGGCTCCGTGGCCCACGTCCTGTCTCCTTGCCTGCCTCTTCACCCCTACAAACCATACTTCTCAGTTCTGGGATGACTACAGATACGGAAGATGAAGTGAACCAAACCTGAGGCAAGGGCAGGAGGCGAGTGCTGAGAGACACCAAGCACGAGGCCTCTGTCCCATTGGTCACTCAGCAAGTGTTAGTTGAGCGAGTACAGAATGCAGAGCGACTCTTCACCAGAGTGGAAGGTCGGCATGAGATCGGCTCTCTGCCCTGCTTGTCACTCGCCCCTTTTGGCAAAGCTCTATTTAGAAATCTCATTCATGCACTGAATTAAAATTGTCCTCCCCATAATTTATCTCCTTCCCTCTGAATACTGGTTTAAACTGCTATATAATTAAATTATGAGTATTTAAATGTTAAGACAAAATTTAAAAAGCACAGAACACAAAAGGATAGTTGAACATATAATCATGGGTCAGGACAGATATTTCTAGGTATGACAGGAAAGACAATTTATGACAGATTTCTCTACATAAACTCTAAAATAAACACAAACAATTTCAAAGCAAGAAGCAAAGTTAATGGAAATATTTGCAACCTAAATGGAAAAGGGCTAATAGCACTGACATTAAAAACTCTCAAAGTAAATAAGAATATATTAGCAGCTGAAAAATTAACAAAAATGAATATATAACTGAGAAGATATTAAAATGTCAAATATGGTAGAAAAGTTTAGTCTCACTTATAATGCAAAATAGAGATATTAAAACAAGATATCATATTTCACTTATAAACAGGATAAGATGATTCAAAGTAAAATGCCAAGTGCTGGGGAAGCACAGGTACTTTCATATTGAAGTTGTATAAGGCACCATTGCTTAAAACATCAACAAACAAACAAACACAACTTTAAATGGCCATAGTTCTTCAAAATCTTCTACTTCTAGGACGTCACATATCGTAAAAAGTCAAGAAAGTGCCAAAGATACTTATCCCAGGGTTCACTACATAGAGGAAAAAACTGTAAGAGAGGCCAATATACAAAACACACCTTTGTAAATATATTAAATCTTTAAAACAGACCATTTTGTAACACTTAAAAGTAATGTTCAGAAAATAACTTGATAATTTTGAAAATTATAGTATTTAGTTATATTGTTTTAAAAATAAGTTGTAAAATGTGCAAGGCCAAATATAGGACCATACTGTATTTCTTCCTAGGGGGGAACAGAAGATTATAATTGTATGTGTTAACAGAAAATTGTCAAGGATTCACTTAAGTCAAACCTAATGTGCTTCTCTGTGTCTGTGTGTCTGTCTCTGTGTGTCTGTCTCTCTTTCTCTCTCTCCTTCCCACCTCCCTCACTCCCCCTCCCTCCCTCACTCCCCCTCCCTCCCTCACTCCCCCTCCCTCACTCCTAACCATGCTGCCCACAGTTCACACTCACTTGTGATTTTCTGACTTCTCTACAGTGAGTGAGTCCCTGTCTTCACAGCAGGACTTTGTGTCATAAGCTGTGTTGTGCAGTTTTCCCATAACTAGTCCATGTTAACTCCTTTGTAAAACATAAAGTCTGTTTCATTTTTTTTCTTGGTCTGGCAAAGTTGAGTACTTGGACCCAGATGCCAGCCCTCCTCCCTCCGTGTCCAGCCCACTGAAGTCCTTTGGCTCCAGTGCATGTCTTTGTTTTCTAGTTTAAAAAGCACACCTTCCTGTTGCTCTCTGAGGGTACAGAACTTCCCTCTCTGAGGGAACAGGCCACTGTGGGATCTTTTTGAATCTCTGTTCTCCAGAGTGAGAACCTGGAATGATGGGGCCAAAGCTGTTACCATGACAACCACAGGACCAATGGTGGGGTAGAAGGGTGGAGGAGAGGGGATGGTACCCAAAGAGAGAATAGACAGAGAAGACACAGAAAAAAACATTCTGCCTTCAATCTGATTACACAGCCAGAGAAATAAAACCTCTGAGGCCAGCTCTGCTGGCTGGCTGCCTCCTCCACAGACCCAGGCACTGTGGCTGGCCTACTCTTCATCATTCACTTAAGTGGCAAAGATATCTGACAGAGTGGCTCAAACCACCTCCCCACAGGGGCCTAATGTGGTTAGACTTGGAGAATTATTCACGGGAGAATAGACTAAAGTGTTTAGTGTCCCCTGGATGCATTAGAGGCAGGTTCTGCCAGTCTCTGTGAAGCACCTTTGTGTGTTTACCATGAAAACGTCAGAACCATCCAGCCAAGACACCCTGGGTCCTCGTGTCCAGAGCAATGGCTGTCTTGATGCAGTTGTCCACATCACTGCAACCCATTTCTCTCTTTGGACACTTGCCTTCCTCATCAGTGGAGTCGTGGTTCCCAGGCAAGACGCAAAGGGCTCTTATCTAGATCCCTGACCTACCCAGCCCAGCACATTTCTGCTGTGGTATATTATTTCAGCTTTGTAAAGATGTGTTACATTTGTTTCTGCTGCATTTGTTTAACAATGTAAGGATGTGTTACATTTGTTTGTGCTGCATTTGTTTAACAATGTAAGGATGTGTTACATTTGTTTCTGCTGCATTTGTTTAATGATGTAAGGATGTGTTACATTTGTTTGCCCCACATTTGTTTAATTATGAAAAGATGGGTTGCTGTTTCACCTTGCCTGCCTAAGGTACCTGTTTGATCTGATAAAAAGCTGAATGGCCAATAGCTAGGCAGAAGAGGGACAGGCAGGGCTGGCAGGAAGAGAAGAAGGAGGAAAGAACAAGGGAGAAAGAGAGGGACCCAGAGGGACCCAGCGGACCTGGAGTAGGACATACAGAAAGAAAGATAAAAAAAGCCCTGAGGCAAAACAGATAAAGAGAAACAGATTAAAATAAGAGCTAAGATAAGGCCAAGCGTTCATAACTAAGATGTCATGATTTGGAAGCTGGTTGGTGGACCAAAAAAAAAAAATCCTGCTACACATTTCCCCTCCTGGGGTCCCTCCCAGCATCTCAACCTGTCCTCTCCCTGTCCTTCAGGGTTGCGCTGGACCCACCTTCTTCAAACATCTCCTCAGACAGCTAAAGTTGGGAGTTCGCTCTGGTGTCAGACTCCAGATTTTCTCTACCCTACCTTCCCCCCCCACACCCCCTAGCAGTGAAGGTGAGGCAAGGGTGTGTCCTGGGAGCCTTTGACATGGTGGCATCTCTCACAAGGAAGAAGAGCATTCCACACTGCTCTCTCGGGAAGCCACCCGCCTGGGCTCTGTGCACATGAACTTGAGTTTCCTATGGTCTGATGATATGTGAGAGAAGAAGAGTTTTGCCATGAGTCCCAGCATCACACGAACACCCACCTACCTCCTGCTCTGAAGTCTGAGGGTAGGAAAAGACTTCCACTTTCTACTAGAAACCTTGTAACTACTGCCGTTATTACTACACCTCGTCTTCATCTGCTGCACCGTTGCTGTGAGCAGTGCCCTGTTCCATGACCTCTGCATTGACTTCTTCAAATCTTTGCACTAATGTCACAAATCCTAACTGCATTAGAAATGGGAGATCTCAGTATGGGGAAGTTCAGATTGGGCCAAAGACCTGACTACTGGGATTCATTTTCCCTCCTCCATTCCTTGTATCCTGTGAGCACTGGAACTCACCCTGCAATGTGTGAGTGCCCGGCTTGTACTTGAGGGTTTTGACTGGGGAGCAGGTGCATGGGTAAGAGCAGGACTCTGCAGCCAGGTCAGCTGGGTTTAAAACCCGACTGTGCCATGGAACAGCTGGGAAACCTCATTCAAGAAGCTTCTCCATCTTCACACAGCTGCAAAGCACCAAAGTGGCTCTATGACATCCAGGTTCACCAGCCCTGGTGCCAAGCACCTCATGGCAAGGAGTTCATTAGACTGTCCAGACAGTATAATCACTTTGACAGGAAGTGGTGGGGGGTGAGGGGTAACCACTTGGAAGATGCCCTAGAGAACATTCCAAAGAAACCAAAATTATCTTGTAGGTAACTTGGAAGTTACTTTTTTTTATTATAACCACCGCCCTTTCGGAAGCATGGGGTTCACCCATCATAATGGATTTCCTGTGGGAAATGCCTGTCAGGACATGAGGAGCAGAAAAGAAGAGCCCTGAGTTCTCCAAGTCATTCAGCCGGGCAGTGGTGGTGCACGCCTTTAATCAAGAACTCGGGAGGCAGAGGCAGGCAGATCTCTGTGAGTTCAAGGCCAGCCTGGATCTAGAGAGTGAGTTCCAGGACAGCTAGGGCTATGCAGAGAAACCCTGTCTCGAAAAACCAAAACAAACAAAAATACCTCTCCTTCAACAGGTCCTCAGTGTCAGTAGGTAAAATTCCAATTGACTGTGGTTGTCCTGTAGGAGCCTTAGCAAGCTAAGTTTTTGGTGAAATGTGTTTCCTCTCACTCCATTTCGCCTGCTACATTACCTGTTCTAACGTCCTCTGCTCATTAGAGACTTCGCTAAGCTCATTGTCACTGGGTCTCTTCTGCTACCATCATTTTGCACAGATGTCTACTGAAGAAAATTCCCACCCTGGAGGTTTCCATTATCAGTCCTGGGCAGTGAGCTGGCTCCCAAAGAGCTTTGAAAGGTCGCAATCTAACAACTCTCCTCACACAAGACAGTTCACTAGCTGATAGCTAAGTACCCAGGGCATTCAAAGGTTGGCCCGTCCTTGACTTGGTGCACACAGGATCCATGGTGAATATTGGTGGCATGAGGAGCATTTACAGGATCAGACAGTCTCACATGATGCTAACATAAAAGTTACCTGATCACATGCCTCTCATTCAGTTACCATGGTAACAAAGGTCCAGGCAGTGTTGCAGGCAAGAGAGTTCCTAGTTGGAAGATCCAGGTTTAAGTCCCAGGTCTTAACGTCTACCAGCTGGGTGACTGAGAAAGTGTACTTGACTTTGGGTAATAATTCCCCTTGCTCTGGTTTGGTGCAGGGCATGAAATTGGTTCTGTGCCCTTGCTGTTTATCTTCCTAACCACCAGCCTCAGGATCCAGAACTGTGCAGAGCTGAGCTGGTAGAGGATTAAGTCTAGTGTAGAAATGGTGCCTTCCCAGTTGGGTATCTTTTGTTAAATATAATGTTTGTATTAACTCTTTGTCCATTCAGCAGAATAATAGTAGTCGTTTCACCCCTGGGGCCTGTGAGCTCCCTAACTTTGGGTTCTTGGCCAGATTTATAGTACCAGACATGAGGTCCCACACAGAGTGACATGAAATCCAGCCGTAAAACGGCTGATTGCTCCCATAACGTGTACCACTCTTGCATCATAGGCATATATTGAAGGGTAGCATATTTAAAAATCACACACGCATGCATTCGTGCATAAATACATGATGTTGGGGGCAGATTTTTTTTAAACTCTATTTTGCCAATGTAAAATTTGACAAAACACTCTGCTTTATGAAAATCACTTACTATTTACACCCAGCTACAAGTCTAATGTATGATCATGCGTTCAGTTAAATATCTGTTGACTTTCATGGCTCTGGTCCTCATGCAAACTGAATCCTCCTAATACATCACTTGTTGAAGCAAGACATTTACAAACCTCTAGCAATGAAAGATTATATAGGCACCTGTTCTTTATTATATTTGTGACCAAAGAAAGAGCAAATTTTTTAAAAAGTTATCTCTTAGGATGGCTATTATCAACAACAAAGGTAGAAAATAGCACATGTTGGGGATAATAAAGAATAAAACCCCATATGCAGCCAGGTGGTGGTGGTGGAGGCGGCGGCGGCGGCGGCGGCGGCGGCGGCGGCAGCGGCGGCGCACGCCTTTAATCCCAGCACTTGGGAGGCAGAGGCAGGCGGATCTCTGTGAGTTCGAGGCCAGCCTGGGCTGCCAAGTGAGTTCCAGGAAAGGCGCAAAGCTACACAGAGAAACCCTGTCTCGAAAAACAACAACAACAACAAAAAAAAAAACCCATATGCATTGCTAGTAAGAATGTAAAATGATAGCTACTACAGAAAAGACTATCTCAGACAGCTAAGCAGGGAGATGCCATGCAACCCAGTAATTCCACTTCTGGATATACACACAGACCAATAAATTAAAGGGGGCTGAAATAATAAATAAATGCTTGTGTGTCAACACTTGAGGCAGAAGCATTCACAATAACCGAAGGTATAAACAATTCCTGCATCAAAAGATAAATAGATAAAATTGAGCATATGCACATAGCAGCATGGGATTCAGCCTTAGGAAGAGCAGAAACTCAGACACACTTTACAACACAGACAAACTTGAAAACATTATGCTAAGGGAAAGAAATCAGTCACCACATGATTCTTGAAATGTGATCTGGAGTGGTTGAACTCACAGAGACAGAAACAGCAATACTAGTTACCAGGGGCTGGGACAGAGAGATGTGAGATTGTCTGAGATGCTCAAAAAGTTCTGAAAACGGAGCCACACACTGTGAATGCTAAATCAGCATGTTAACTACTCAAAAGAGGTTAAGTGGTCATTACATTATATATGTTTATTACAACCATTTAAACCTCAGGATACACATGGAAGACACGCTGGTATGTTCCAATATAATGTGGTGATTGAAAAACCCTCTAAGTTGCTTCAGTAGCATCGCTGGCGCCAACCAGTTCTGTTTTAGTAAACTGCATTTGGAAGGATCCTGAGGGGGCACGATTTTCAATTCCTCTTCCAAACACTGCTCAAAGGTTGGAAGAATGTAGAGCTGGCCATTCTTCTTCTAAGGCCTGGAACTCTCTAGCAGCTCTTTGATGAGTGTGACACTCCCTTTCTGGTCCTACCCAGCCACCATATCCTGTCACCAAAATGACCCAGAAGAGCTCCTTAGGACCGAATTAGGTAACCAAAGTCAACACACTGTTGTTATATGCTTAATGAACTAACCTGCTGCCTCTCCCAGAAAACATATTTGCATTTCCCTGGGTTTTCTAGAGACAATGGTTTAAATCAAAAGAATGAACACAAATCCATTCTCTCAACAAATATTTGTGGCTTATGAGTCTCATAGCTCTAGGAGAGTTTACAAGGGTGGCCAGGTTCCGTGTCTCAGGGCAGCAGGGGAGGTCTGAGTTAACTTGCCTCAAGGGAAAGAATGGCAGAAAGCTCCCCTCTACATGCTGGGCACTGCCTCTAAGGGAGACCCTTGGCCTCCATTCTCTCTCCACTGACCTAATTCCAGATTACAAGAATGGCCTTAGGCCGTGAACATCCAAAGCTCAGCTCCAGCCACATGTGCCTCTAACTGCCACATTTCAAAGTGGGGACCAGGAGGTAAACAACACTGATTCTCTCTCATGTGATCACACAGGCTGCCTGAAGAAGGGGCGAACATCTGTCGTGTCTTCCTCTGTGTTTTATAGTTGTGAGAATGTTGGCCCCACACACAACTTTTCCATCTAAATTCCCTCAACTCAAAACTGGACCTTGAAACAAGCTGAAAATCATCCCCAAATGAACTGCAATAGATTCTAGGGGGGCGGGACATACATTTTGCTGAGAG